GAAACGTCTCGCAAATGGAGCATGGAACCTCGAAAGTGCCTTGGAATCAATCCCAAAACTCGGGTGTCCGCCAAGACTAGTTTTGATTTTAGGATTGGCTAAATTGAAGCAGATGCTGAACATATGGTGTTCTTGGAAACATATCATGCCCAACTGGCTTGTTTGCAACACATAGTAGTTTGGGCTTTCTTGTGGGCTTTGGCACACATCCATCCATTGAATCAGGGTTAGCTGTTTGAAGCCTTTTTGTTCGATCCCTGGCAATCGTCGACACTTGCTGAGGCTGCGCCCTGAAGAAATGGGTCACCAGCCCCAACTCGCCAAAACTGACAGGGTTCTCAAAGCACAGCGCAGTTGGTTCCGTTTTCCGTAGACAACCAAGGGAACCACTCGAACTACTCTTGAAACAACTAAACGGAACATGGCAGGTTGCCTACTAATAGTCACCCCTGCGAAGCACTGAAATAGAGGGATGTCTGGGTCATTCCTTGGTTGCAGCTCGAGACTCTCTCTACCCCAACCCCCCCTCGAGTAGGTTTTCAGAACCTTTCCTTGAAGCCGGGGGTTAAGGCCTTTGGCTTTTCCCTCGGAGAAGCCACGGCAGGTTGCAATTCTTCGTTCACCCCTTTCCGAATTCCCCTTTTGCTTGGTGGACTCCCCACCAATGGTCAATCCAGCCGGTGATTGGAAAAATGTTCAACCGTCCAACCCGCCCAGTTGCAACTTGTGACCCTAGAAGAAAGGGATTGGGATCAGTTTCAACTATTCAACGGGCACCTCCCCTTTTCAACCTCTTTTCAGCCTGCAACTGAGTGTCCCAACTAAGCCGCGCAGCTGCCCAGGCGCGATCAGTACCGCAGAATCGCCAAGTACTACGCCGCTTGGCACGCCAGTGGACCTGATCGAAGCCACCCGCAAGCTCAAAGACTGTTTGCAACGGTGAGGCTCTTATGTTGGCCCTATTTGGCTTATGGAGTCCTCTCTGTTTGATGCATCGCTATTTCCGCATCAAAAGACTCCACCTGTCACCACCAAGAGTTGGATTCTAGCCCAGATGATCCAAATACCTTCTCAGCACATACAAAGACAGGGCAAACATGGGATCAACATACATTGGAATGTGGTTAGAACGTAAAGTCACTTATATTTTGAGTCCCTTCATGGAGCTTGGCCTTGGCCCGCTCAACATGCCTATTTGCCATGTCTGTTGGATCTTTACTCGTTGCCTTGTTGGGCAACATGTGAGCAGCATGCACAAAACAGCTATTGGCCAATTTGCTAGGTGGTTCTGCTACGGGATTGTGATATATAATGCCTTTCTATTCCGCAGCTCATGTGCGTGTGCCCACTAACCAACCACAATATGAACTTTTTGCACGGAGGGCAATTGCCAGAGACTATGGATCAGGGCCCATGGCTAAGGTTGGTCAGAGTTGCTCGAGACATATCCCTGAAACCTACTGGGTATACAACTTAGGTAAAATCACGTGGCCTGGAGACGTGCGAATGTTTTGGCAGGGAAATCCCAAAGCATCTAAGCGGCCCTTGCAGGGGGCTAGTTTGAAGAAGGACTCTTGGTGTCGTTTGAGAGTACCCGTTTTGGGATTGAAAGGGATACCACCCATTCCCCCAGCTACAGACAAGCCTTTTTGGGCTTGTGTGGAAATGATGCTCCCAGAAAGAGTGCCCTTGAACACACAACGGTGGCCAGCGGGAGGGAGTGGGCGATTTCCTCGAAAGGGGCCATGGATTCTCGAACCACTACTTAAAAGAAAAAAGGGGCTGGGTATGTGTCCAAACCCAACGCATTCCTGCCGAATTTTGAATAGACCCAACATCGGGCCCTCCAGTCCCAAAGACCCGTGCGCAAGGAGCAGCGCAACCTCTTGGCCAACGCCGCAAGGAGCGCCTCGATTCGACTCGCCTTAGACTCGAATGCTTGGGCCCAGATGCGGGCCTGGGTTTGGGATTTGTTCAGGGATTTGCCTCTTACAGGTTTGCTTCGAGGCAAAGTCCAAGGCAAAGGCCGCTTTGACACATACCCATGTCGCTATGGGTCAAAATCCCGTACCCCCAGTGCACATCCCAATCCCCCCTAAAATAGGTTCTAAAATGGGTGCTGCACCTACCCCAAAATGGTACCATTGACCCACGGCCACATGATAATAAGGTTGTGCCTTGTTTTTGCTTGGAGCTCAGTTCGACCCCGATGAACTGCACGTGTGCCAGGCACTACGCGCTCTGCGAGGAGTACCCCACGGCTTTGAAGCTGTACTTGAAGGCACCCACTTCCCCCAGCCGGACTTTTAAACTTTTTGTCAGCCATCCCCTATTAGGTGGTTTGGTGGTTTGGTGCTTTTTTTTTGGACGTTAGGGGCCACCTTCTCCAATCCAGAGCACCAATGAGGGTGAGGCTGATGTTGGGGAAGATCTTACCTGGAGTCTGAATGACCATTAAACAAAATAAATCCCAGCATGTTGGATAAACCAGTGCTGTCAGAGGAAGATCAGTTTAGTGGTTAACAAGATATTTGGACATCTCACTTCCTGAGGAAAGCATGAGCGAGCTGTCGCTCCAATTTACCGTTCCACGTTGCCAGGGCGCCTGAACGAGGAATTTGATTTTCTACTTCTACCCTCCCGCTGGTGCTATGTTGGGAGCGGGGACGTGTTTTTGACTTGATTAAAACCAAATTAGCAGACTCTTTTGTCGGGAACTTGTCATTGGAAAGGCCTTGCCGGAGTTTAGAGTCCTCTCCGTGGGGGCTTGCTCGTTGCTACGGCTCTTATATCAAAGAATCTATACTGTATGACTGGCACATTTAGAAGCAATCCGAGCAGTCCCACTAATCTTAATTACTCACATGATGACTCATATGTGCTGGAGTGGTTTGGTGTTGGCTGTTGAATCCCGAGGTGAACCTGGCTCATATCCCTGGAATCTCCAAGGTCTGTAATCGGCCGATGTACCCAGTTTTTAGGGGGTCAGACCGCCATGTTTTCCTTGTCTCAAACTCGGGATAGGGCAGCTATGGAATGGACCACCTGCGGTTCTTCACCACCTTGCGTTGTGTGTGTGTGTGTGTCTGTGTGCGTCTCTGTGTGTTTGGAGGTTCCATGACCCTACAAACTTTGGAGTCAAACACCAAGCTTGAGTTGCCTTCCAAGTGCTACCCCTTTGACAGCACCTTGCCCAGCCGCATGTTTTTTTCCAAAACCAAGGGACCCCTAAGTAAAGGACCTCCATGGCTTTCGCTTGTTTTGCCCCAGATCGCCACATTGGCAATTGGCAGCTCCGAGGGCGATTCGGCGATTTGATCTCCCTGCAGGTGGGCGAGAAGGAAATCGACAACGCCATCGAGGCGCGGGCGGTTGGAGCGAAAACGATCCAAACTATTTCCTGGGCCATTTCGCCTGGCTTCCAGGTACCAAAAGTAAGCTCTGGTTTTGGGAGGTGCTGGCTTGACTTGCGCCAAGACCTTCAGTGCCCCTTGCCTAGCGACGGCTCGGAAGGTCAATGGGTTTGGGACCCTTTTTTGGCAAGTCCCCAAACTCTCACCGCTGTTGTTGTGGATGCTTCTTGGGCTAGTTCACTTGGGCTTCCTTTCAAACATCTATCCCAAAACGGGGACCTTCTTTTTGATGGCGCGGTTTGCTGGAGTGCGTGCGCCTGCCATCACGAGTCTGCGCACAGGAGGTTGGATAGGGTTGGGGTATGTGTGTGCGGGTGAGTCAGCCAGTGTACAGAAAGTGATAAGGAAACCACGGTCTGGCCTGCTTGGTGCTTCAGACCGTGCCTTGCGAAGCAACCTGCGGGCGGGTTCTGTGCTGGCCTCGGTCACCAGGTCGTGGGCAAAGCGCGAAGTGACGCGTTGACGCACACGCTGATCGACTACCTGATGGGCGAGCAGGATAACGTGCCTAAGGCGCTGGCCGGGCACACTTTGGGAACTTGCGCTGTATTTCTGACGAATGTACGGATGTTTCTCAAGAAGGAGAACGCCTTTTCGTTTAACTTAAAGTCTTACAGTTGTTTCTGTTGACATCCGTGTTGAAAGGTTATTCAGGCTCCACTTTACAAAATGAAGAGTGCATGGTAATTGAAGTCCCGCGCAAATCAAACGTAATTGGATAATAATTGGAGCTCAGCGGGTATTCCCACGAAGCCAACGAAGCGACGGCTCTTGCGATTCCCCTTGGTGTTGTGTTAGTTGTCCTTCCTACCAAGTTTGGTTGCGGCTTCAGTACCGTTTCTTTCAGCAATTGGAAAAAGGTTTGCTACAGTTTAGATACTATTCGGTCAGAGCTGCATTTGTGCCGCGCAGCTGCCATGCATTTTGACCGCACAGAATAGCGGACCCCTGAAACGATTTGTTTACTTTGGGTTTCCCTTGAAACCATCCGACAAGCGGACTGAGAACCCCCACCATACTAGGTTTCAATTTTCGACCCCAATGTTTGTGCATGCTTCTGACGTGCATTCTGTGGGACTGGCGCATGATTCCTGGAACGAGAATGGAACGTCCCTTTCAAGAGCTCCTTCTAAGGTTCTCAGAATCTTTCCTCTTCATGGGGCCTTTGGCTTACAGACGTGTTGTACACCCCAGGATTGCACTCTGCCAAAATCACTACACCTGGGACCTGGTCTAACATAGCAAGAGCTTATCTGGCAACAACTTAACATTTGGTAAATGTTCAGTGGGGGCAACCCCATTGTTCAGAACAATTGTTGGCCAGAGCGGCTGTTGAAACTTTACTGGAATCACCCTGCTTGGACAAGCTTGTGTAAGGTTGAGCAGCCGGACCATTTGCAACCACTTAGGGAAACCGAGAGAAAGACAAATAGTGGATAGGCATTTGGACAGGTTGGCCTCTCCCTGCGAATCGCATTTGGATAGCATGCCTTGCGTGCTCCCTGTTGGTTTGACCAAAGCATGAAGCCTGGTTTCCGTGTACTTGCCATGGCAGCAAATCACATCTTTATGGACCACACGTGATCATGCTTCCGGGTGCAGATTCACTCTTTTGGCATGTTACTCTAGTGAATTCATTGGTGTCTGTGTGTGTCTCTTTTTGGTGGCACTTGCGATGCTGGGGGCCCACTCGCAAACCTAAAATCCATCCCCTTTGCCCTCCTTTTGCAATACAAGAAGTAGAGCCAGAGGAACGACATGAGTCGTCGCTCGTTTTTGGGGCCCTGTTTGCCCGTGAATAGATTGATGAACAAAGAAAGGATTCAAGTGTTTGGCTTGCTGGTGCGATAGGTAGGGAATGAGAGAATGAACCCCAAGACTCCCCTTCAAGCAACCACAAGGGATGATGTATAGGGGTCATTCCATGTCTCATTCCCTGCCTACCGCACCAGCAAGTTGGCCCGGGGTTGAACGTTGACCAAGTTGTGGTGGTTGCATTACCTGAGATGGCGAACTTGAAACTTGCAGTTGGTGTCTTCATGATGCGACAGGCACAGGTGTTTCCCAGTCGACTTAGGTCATTCCATGCTAGGTTTCCTTGAAAGCAGCCGCAAGTTGATCCTTTGCAACACCAACTTGTCAATGACTGAATCAGCCATCTCCGATTTCAAGAACGTAATGAACGTGGCTAAGTAGGTGCCCCACGACCCCAATCTAGTCGTTGAAGATCTTATATCCTCCCGCCCAAATGGGTTCCTTGGTACCTCCTTAGGATGTACTTACTTAGTGGGCTTAAAATGGGCCATGGCAGACCCCAGCCCTACAGTGGATCGACAAAAATACATCGCACCAGTCGAGACAAATAAACCCCTGTAAATACTGGGACAAGCCACCAATCCGAACTAGGGCGGAGCGATCAGTGTGTTAAACATGTTTTGCCACGAGGATGCCAACTATGTCTACCGACTGCACAAAGCGCTGGGCAACTACATGCAGGCGCTTGTGTCTACAGTTGCAGATATGTGCTGGCTTTGTTTGTCTGCGTGCGGCTTGCTTGCTTGCTTGCTTGCTTGCTTGCTTGCTTGCTTGCTTGCTTGCTTGCTTGCTTGCTTGCTTGCTTGCTTGCTTGCTTGCTTGCTTGCTTGCTTGCTTGCTTGCTTGCTTGCTTGCTTGCTTGCTTGCTTGCTTGCTTGCTTGCTTGCTTGCTTGCTTGCTTGCTTGCTTGCTTGCTTGCTTGCTTGCTTGCTTGCTTGCTTGCTTGCTTGCTTGCTTGCTTGCTTGCTTGCTTGCTTGCTTGCTTGCTTGCTGCTTGCTGCTTGCTTGCTTGCTTGCTTGCTTGCTTGCTTGCTTGCTTGCTTGCTTGCTTGCTTGCTTGCTTGCTTGCTTGCTTGCTTGCTTGCTTGCTTGCTTGCTTGCTTGCTTGCTTGCTTGCTTGCTTGCTTGCTTGCTTGCTTGCTTGCTTGCTTGCTTTTTTGCTTGCGTGCTTGCTTGCTTGCTTGCGTGCGTGCGTGCGTGCTTGCTTGTTTTGTTGGTTGGTTTGGTTGGTTTGGTTGGTTTGGTTGGTTTGGTTGGTTTGGTTGGTTTGGTTGGTTTGGTTGGTTTGGTTGGTTTGGTTGGTTTGGTTGGTTCGGTTGGTTTGGTTGGGGGGTACTATTTTGCTCGGCAAGGTTGTTTAAAGACAACTGCGACACATTTGGAGCAAGGACGGCTTGCAACAATCCCCCCCCTTCCACTTGGGTTTTGTCCTCCCTTGTCTTTCCCAGGCAACGTCTTGACAGGGGGGCCTGCAAAACATATTTCTCAGGCGACAGTTTTTTTCCCCAACAGCTGAAAGCAGGGTGGTCCGGGGCGGCGCTGCGGTAAGGTTCCACGAGGGTTCCACGAGGGTTCCACCAAGGTTCCACCAGGGTTCCACCAGGGTTCCACCAAAGTTCCACCAGGGTTCCACCAGGGTTCCACGAGGTTCTGCGAGGGCTGTGGGGTGGTGCGAGCACTAGAAAGAGCCCGCATGCTGTTGGGGATAGCACCGGGGCTTATTTTTTCCGGGCAACCCGTTTTGCCAGCAAACCGTTTTGCAGAACTTTGCAGAAGGGGTGCTGGCACAAAGACGACTCTCTAAAGTTGTTCTGTGTCATTGTTCTCCCGTTATTGTTTCAGGTCACAATTTGTTGTAGACCAGCAGCAGCTCAGCAAAGTTTATTTCTAGCCGCTGTGGGCGCAAGAATGGCGCACGCGTGGCGCAGGGTTTAACTTGCTCGCATGAATGAGTCTTTCATAAGATCTGGCCGAATTTACTTCGGGCAAGGAGGGTTCTTTGTGCAACATACTTCCAGAGAGGCGCCGTAGCCTTGGCCAAGGAGCATTTCAAAGGGCGAATTTGGGACCTACAACTGCGCCAAAGACATGACTGCACTCATAGGGTTTTTGGACCCTCGTAGGCACGAATTTCTTGGTGTTGGTGTTGGTGGTGTTGGTGGCGGTGGTGGTGGTGGTGGTGGCGGTGGCGGTGGTGGTGGTGGGGTACAGTTTTTGGCGGCCCTCTTTGGCTGTCTTGCTTGCTTCTGCATATAGGGGCCTGTTACAAGCTGCAACGGGGCTGTGGCCTTGGAAGATCGTGCAAGGGCGGACACACTGGTTTAGAACAACCCGGTTGATTAACAAGGGCGCCAATCGCTAGAATTGATTTTGCACGGTATGTTTCAACCAAGTTAAGACATGTGGTGCCTGACCTTTGCTCTGACTGTATCAGCGGTTAGATCTTTGGAGGCGATCAGACTTTCCATCGGACTACAGTTGATAGTGTCTCAACTTCAGGGACCTCCGAAGGTTTCTCCTCTTTGTAGGTTCCACTATCAATTCATCCAAAGGAACCACACCCAAGTCGAGCTCCGTTTCGGTTTGCGGACCGGCCATATCCAGTCTCTTCGACTTGCGTTTTTGACACCAGACCCAGGACCCATACCTCGTATGGGTAAACCTCACATAAGGAGTAACACGGGGGTAAAAACGCCCTTGATCAGGCTGCGTTGCAAACCAGTCTAGTTTCTACAGAGCCAGCTACAGGATTTCCTACAGGAAGGTACACCAAGCACCTTACATCAAACACCTTTGACAAAAATGGTACGATGTCTTGCATCTTGCTATGATAGATTGAAGCTTTGCGACTTCTCAGGCCGCAGGCACGGCTCACATCATCGCCAAGCAAGAGCAGGAGATGGGCAATTACAAGCAGGTCATTCGCCCAGCGGCTCTCAAGGGTTGTCGCAACACTAGGGGTGAACCCCCCCCAAAATGGTAGCAGGTGTCGGCTTTTTTGGTTTGTTTGTCCAATTAAACAAGGACAAGTTATGGGGTTTCCGCAAAACGGACACAGGCACACTCAGCTTGCTTTACTACGTTTGTATTTTATGGTTTGCCTCTGAATGTGATGTGGAACCCCAAAACATGTGTTTTGTTGTTGTTGTTGTCGGTTGAACTAGTTTGAACAATCCTAACAAGGGTACCCTCAGAAGAGGCGCACCCACATCGTGCACATATATAACGGTTTGTTCATGTCATTAGCGATGTTCATGTTATGTGTGTTGTTTGTTTGTTGTTTTTATTGTTTTGTTTATGTAGGTATTGATTGTTGGTTTATTTGCTTGTTTAAATACATGTACGCGGCACAGTCGACACAATGTGTCCTTTACAGCACTAACTTTCATGGCAATCTGACATATGTTGTTTGAAAGGTCATGGACCTGTACCATCCCGAGACGCCCCAACATCAATCGTGTGCCTCCAAAGAGGACTCGGCACCTAGCGGCCTTACAGCTTGTCTTTTTTGGTTGTTGATTCAGCGTCGTCTTTTACAGGTGCCATCCATCGCCTGCTAGCCGTGGGTGTCAGGATTTGTTTAAATCCTTTGACATCATCCCGGAAAAGGGAAACCCACAAGAGTCGCCAGGGTTGATGTTGAAAGTATGATTCAAGGGAACTATGAAAATTGCATCATCTGCCAAACAGGTGACATGTCCAATCATAAATCAACGGCTTCCAATTCGCGCTGCTTTGCATGTTCCCATAATCGTTTAATCCACTTGCAAGGGAATCCGAGAGACACTCGACGCATCGATGAGGCGCACCAATTGCTCTTCCGTACCTACCAGGAGATCTTCCCTCGAATCCGCCGCGCCTTTTTTGGGGGGGTTCAATGAGATACTCGCCTCCAAATTAATGGGTCCCCACAGAAGAGCTTCCTTTGAAAACGATGTTCCTTGGGTTCCACGTCAACGTGCAGGGAGTATGATGGATGGGGATTAGTATGTATGGTTTGGGGTGCACCGGGTCGTCATGGCTCATTTGCTCTTTGTTCAGCCTGTTGCTTGGTCATCCGAAGCCGCTTTACAGTCCAGGATCGGACAGTTCACTGAAGCCAGTCAGGTTCCATGTTGGTGAGGATACACTCCTGCAAGTTAATATGAAACTCGAACAACTCCCATAGGCATCTCCTTCTGGGCGACCCCGTGTGTTTCATGCAGTATAGGGACATACCGAAACCATGCTCGAAGGGTACCTGACTTGTGCACAACCAAGCATTCACAAGTGTGTCCTGAGTAGTGGTATGTGTTGTCTTCTTTTAGGGGTGACTGAATCCAATATACAAGTTAAGACTATCAAAAAACTCTGCGATTTGCAGCGGTTGCTTCTCAGGGGTTGGGCTCAGCATCGCAACTGCGATTGATGCCCTGAAACTGGTTGCTCAACAGCCCGAAGTATATGTGCAGTTTCTGTAGTTCTTGGCTTGGCTTTTGGGCCACCAGACCATAGTACCAGCTTCGCCTCGCCTCGCCCAGCGTTTCCGCTCGGTAGGATTTGAAGAGCCAAAAGCTGGCGCTGCCGCAGGAGTTGCGGGCACCTCAGAGGTCCCAGCCCGGCAAAACGCCCGGTTTACTCCATGGCCTGATGGAAGGCCCCTTTTCGGGGAAAGGGAAGGGGGGTGGCATGGCGATACTCGGGAACCTTGCAAATAGTGACCTGAGAAATATGTTTGGTACGTCCGTTTTTATTTTCAGCGCAAGGGTTGGCTGGTTGACCCGCCCAACCCTCGGAAGAGGGTCTCTACACTTTCAAACGGGATCACAAATTATATGTGTTCCACCACGTCCACCTGGCTGGAAAGCAAAGTGAAGAAGTCCCCCATTTTGACAAGTAGTTCCAAATTCCACTATCCCAGACCTCCAATACCTCCAGTGGCGGTTTCCATCTCAAAATCAAATACCAAAAAAGTGCCTTGTTCCTCATGGCCACTGGTGGTCAGAGTTAATTATGTTCAACGCAAATTCACAGTACCTGCTTTGCGTAGGTTACAAAACCGTGGTTAGCCTTTGCGTTGGGGCTCTGCAAGATTACCAGGCAAAGCCCTGTAAACATGCAGCCCGCGTATGCTTGCCATCCGCGGAGTTCCGCTTTGTTCTCACAGGCACATAGGCCTTGTTCACATAGGTTCGCATCGCCTTCGCATGGCCTCTACACATTCAGAGGAACAGGTTGCGCCCTCAGGTCACAGGCGTCCAACAGCAACAGGAGCTTTCACAGAGAAAGGTCCAAATGGTCCTTCAAAATGACTGCTAGGCATGGAGCGGGTAAGGCCCTGTTGTACAAAACATATATATATATATATGTGTTGTGTTTGTTTTGTTTAATCGCAAAAGATTGTATGTTTCATTAGGTCTCTACATTTATCTTATTTTTAATATACATAACGCAAGCCATGTATGTATACACAGTTGTACTATATTATACTATTTTTCACACATCCAGGACAAAAGAAAAGGCCTCGAACGTCATTGAAATCGCTATGCGATCCGCCGACGAAAACGGATTTTAAGACCTTTTCTTTTTCAGGGAAGTCTTGCTTGTTGGCACCAGATGATAGAAGGTCTGAATTTGCCAGTTTACATACATTTCCCTATAAAAAGGGCTGGAAATGCAAGGGCGCAAATTGACCAAACACAGAAAATACCAGAGATGCCGGGAATGCTGGGAATGCAGCCGGCTGGCCACAAAGCAGTCCGAAAAACAAGGATTTGTTGATATTTCCCAAAATCAACAATCAAAAGCTGGTACTAGCAACCCCCCTGAAAAACCCTAGAAATAGACTTCCGAAAAACGATAATGCGGGGGATGTTTCGCAGTAACTGCTCCGTACAGGTGGGGAATTGCAAAAAACAAAATTCAAACAGTTCCTCAACGTATCACTGCACTTGGCCCCACCCAAGCCCCTAACAGGCCGATTCCAACATCGCTTGAAACAGCAAAACACCATTAGTATCTGCAAAAGAAGAGACAAATTCATAGCAGCAAGGTAATCCTGATGATGCCGGGGATGCAGATCCTGCGCGTCCGGGGGAACCCCCCCCCCCCTAGAGACCTAGGCGAAACGCATATTTGTAGCACGCAAGCCTCAAAAACACTGGACAATTACAGGGTTTTGGACACCCAGCACACCATGCCCAAAAAATGGCAGCCCCAAAAGCCTTCGGCTTTGATAAGAGATCCGAAGGAAGACCAATTTGCGGACTGCCATCTACACGCTCGACTGGCGTCGGCGGATTTTTTGACATGTTTCTTGAATACCATGCAGTACAAGGCGAACGCAGGGCCCATGTCTCAGATCCTGGTGATATTCAAACAAGGATCTATGATTTCTGCACAGATTACAACAAGCTCACCCGTTACCGGTGATTTTCTTATATCCGGTGTGCGAATCATTGACTGTGGACCGCGACTACCCTTTTTCCAGCAATAATGGATGGGGACACAAGGTGTTTAACGACCATCCTAAAAAGCACTTACTCCCGCTTGCTCCATGTCTGGCCAACATTTCACCCTTTGATGTTCTTCAATGCTGTGATTCTGGCATGTTTTTTTCAGTTAGTTCAGGGCCCTGATTGGGAGACAATGGTGATACGCTAAAAGATTATGGACATTCCTTTGCATACCTTTTTCCCGGGCGGTTCACGTTGTAAGGCGTTTTGAGCAACTTAGGCGTTTTGCGTGGATGTGCGCTGTTTTGCCCTTTTCTTCTGCGGGCGTTGTGTGTCTTTTTGCGAGCGTTGTGCGGCCATTTGCGGGCGTTTTTCCTTGCTTAGGCGTTTGTGGGAATTTGCGGGCGTTTGAAATGCAAAATGAGGCACAAACAGAAACTACGAGAAAAAGTACTCGTTGGAATGCCCAGGTGAGGGAAAATGTGAGCGTCTTCCGAACTCCTCTTCTTTTCAAAGCCTTTTACATCTTGTGCTGTAGCTTTGCCAGCCCTTTCCCAACGCATGCGCACCACCTCCAACCCTGCTGACAACGAGTGAGCCAGGTCTGTCTCAAAATGGGGAACCGGACCCTTTCTGGATGGTGTGAAAGCAATCCCAAAGCAACACCCACGCGCGCCAAAGACACCCCTCAAAGTGTTGCCTTTAACAAGCCATATTAGGGAAAACTCAGGCAAACCGCTTGTAGGGCCACTTGAAAGCGGCTAGTTTGAGAAATTCTTTCAGCCGTCAACTTCCAGGTGGAGACGTCTCATGCTGCTCCACTCCTATGTCATTGCCGCGAGCTTGGACCAGGGATGGTCCATTAACATTGGAACCCCAGACTTCCAGTGCCAGTGTTTGTTGTTTGTGTTGGGGGGGGGCTCCCTTCACAAATCAATCCAGAAAGGTGCCCCTCTATTCTCTTAAAAAATCCACAGGGGACCTACCTGGATGGAGGCCCCTGGCTCGGACCATGTCCAGCGACTTGCCAAGGTGCAAGACCGACTTGGTTCTTGTTTGTGATTTGAGGGCACCCGCAACACCAGGCAAGAACACAAACTAGAACGATCAAGGAAAATGAAAAAAACAGAAAAGCAAAAGGACTACATATGGAACAGACTCAGATATGACTTTCAGCCCGGTGCCCCATGGCCAAGTTTAGGAGTTCCATTTGTGGAGATGGCCGCTGGTGGCCACTGCTGTCAGGTGAAGCGCCTGGTCAAGGCGGGCTCAGCTGATGTTTGCCTATGGACATGCAGCGGCGGTCTGGGTGAGTGGGTTGTGGAGGACCACCCATTGAAGATCAGGTATGCCCAGCTGTCTAGGCGGTACCTTCCATTTCCATTCTTTCCAGGGATCGGATTCTTTTCGGGAAACCATCAAAATTCCAGGGGAAACGGCTGGATGGTTGAAAATAATGGAAAAGGAATCAACCCCTAGTTGATGTTTCTCCATGGAAATCAGCCGGGTTTTGAGCTTCAGGAGCAGGGCTCCGATGTATTGGGACGTTTGGAAACCTCTTACATCTTCACCCTGGAGATTGAAACCAAGAACATGTCTTAAAATCCGAGGCATAGGGTTAAACGTTGACCAAGTTCAGGCCTTCGTTCGGGGTGGCTTCCTCGGTTGTTTGGGGTGCTTTAAATATCACCGTTGAGGCCGATTCAAAGTGGGTGCTGTCGCTTGTTGGTGACACTTGTATGCTGGACATGTTGGTAACATTGGCGCTGCTGTTTTTGTGTTTGTGTGTGTGTGCGTCGGGTGGTGTCTGTGTATGTAGGTGTGTGTGTGTGGGTGTGTGGGTGTGTGGGTGTGTGGGTGTGTGGGTGTTTCTGTTTGTAATTGTGTTTTATGTTTGCTTGGGTTTGCGTTTGTGCTTGCGCTTGGGTTTGCGCTTGCGCCTGCGCCCGCGCTTGCTTGCTGGCTGGCTCGCTGGCTCGCTGGCTCGCTGGCTCGCTGGCTCGCTCGCTTTCTTGCTTGCTTGCTTGCTGGCTTGCTTGCTTGCTTGAGTGTGTTTGTGTTGGTGGCGTGTTCGTGTTCGTGTTTGTGTTGGGGTGTCTCTTTGTCTCTGTGTCTTTATGTCTCAGTGTGTGTGTGTGTGTGTGTGTGCGTGTATGTGTAGGCTATCGTGTTGGGTTTGATCTGCTTTCGCGGGGGCTGCCAGTTGCCACTGCGGACAGGCTGGCGACCACCCCAGTGCCGCCATCATGCCGGGAGCTTTGTGGAAGCTTCGGAGTGTGTGTTCGTTTCGAAAGGAGACCGGGAAAGCTGGGCACCATTTTTCGCCGTGCTTCCGCGGCTAGGAAAAGGTGCAAAGTTGTAGGTTGCTTTCAGCCTTTCGGTGTCCAATCTTCAGCGTTCTTCCAGCTGAGTTTCAAGCAATCGGTTCCTGGTTGTTACCATCAATTGTGGTTCATCCGAAGGGAACGACCCAAACCTCAGTAGAAATTTAGGCTTCCTTTGGTTCCCCGAACATCGGCCTTCTTTTCTTTTGGGGGGGGTTCAAGGGAATCCAAAAGGACACCAAAAGGCCATTTCGCGGATTTGACCTGGCTACCTCAACCCAGATTGCACCCTTTGCATCCCGGTTGGGGGGTTCACCGCTAGTGGAATCAACTGCAAAGGAATGGTATCCAGTTTTGAATACCATCGCCTTTCCTGGTCCCCACTACCAAGCAAGCGAATCAATCCAACATGGGGCCACTAGATTACTTGAGCTTACAATCTCCCCTTGAAACAAACATGTGGTTGTTTAGTAAGTACCAAACATTTGGAGCGGGGCTTTCCTTTATGCCCTGCGCTTTCTCATGTCCGCTGCAGGTCCAAGCTTCAAACCGGTTCGGGGAATGATCACTTCGGACTAGTCAAAGGACCTTTCCATTCAAAGGGCCCCGCCCCCCCAAGTCGTGCATTCCCCACTACAAGTCGATATAATCGGAAGTTTTTAAGTGGACAGGCTCCTTACCAGAAATAGGCGCGCATATCAAGAAGCCCTTTGGACTCTTTACCTGGTTCTTAATTGATTTACGATACCCTGAGGCGCAAATGGGGGCCGAGCCTTCAAAGGATGACCCTCCCCTGAACAGTGACCCAACTACCAAGACTTGTGCTTCCAGCCGCGTCCTTATCAAATTGGGGTCCCCAAAACGCAAGTCGGGGCGCGCTACGGGGAGCCCGCGGGCCTCCACACGAAGCCCCCGAAGCCTTCAGGCAGCAATAAACATGGCTTGGTGCACTCTCAAACCTTGGGGATGCACGCGGAGATGTGCACCACGGGTCACGTGTTTTTGGTTATTTTCTTGGGGGGCGGCCAGCTTACCATCTTGAGTGAACTGGAAGGACTTTCTATCCCTGAAATTGGTCTTTAAGAACGAGACCTTCATCAAGGCTGAGGGTGGCATATCTGCCCCTGGATAGCCGCAAAATGTTAAAGTTGCTCCAATAGAACGGCAGGGTATTAGTTGCGGCCGTGAAAGGAAACCAAAGGACACTGAACAAAAAAGACTTCCCACTTGGCTCCCATCCATGTAAGAAGCATCCAAGAACCCATTTGTTAAATCCCGAGATATCCTGAGTAGAATCACCGAAGCTGAGACCAGCATGCCACGAGACTAAGGTTGGTCAGAGTGGCCAAGAACATCCAGCAGTCCGGGCCTTGAGTCTCACGTAAATAGTGAATGAACCCTAGAAACCTAGAAGGAGGGATTTCTCACCGTAGCAAAAACCAATGGTAATTGAGAACACAATGCATATCGAGCGTCGCACACGTCATGGCGAGATTTTGGAAGGCGCAATCGATCGGAGCCCCAACTTCGAACACTCAGCGCATCCGATCCGGTCAGGGGCCAGTTACAGCGACCGAAATCGGGCTTGAGTGACATGTTGCGACCGAAACGCTGTGAGGGCTCCTTCCGTGAGCCCTTGGTCCTGCAAATCTTGCCAGTGGATCCCAGTTACCATAGGCATTTTAGCAGTTTTCTTAGGCTAACCAAGGATGGTTCCTTTTACCTACTACACAGGGCAACTGAATCGCTGGGAGGTGTGGAGCAACTGAGACCCATGTCTCAGTTTCAGCCGACCTTTTGACCTTTGGATGGCATGTTTGGTCTATAACAGTACTTTCTGATGCGCTTTGACCCAGTTGACCCCCCATTTTGTGTACATCCCCAGATACTTACCCCAGGTACTTAGGTCGACCCTTAAGGTTGTTGGGGGCTCAAGAGGTCAACTTGTGCAGAGCAGTCAGCCATGTGAGTGCACCCCTATCTTGGCTTCTGGGCTCATGAGAATTCAGCCAAGCAGAAAGATTCGATCCGAACCCTTCGTTCAGAGCACCTTTCCTGGGGCTCGGTCAATTTTGAGATCCGTGCGGCCCGCCCTTTGACCTTCCTTTCGAATGGAATCGTGGGCTTCTACACCATCGGGGCGCTCAGCTGTTTGGTGCCTTTTCTCTTTTTTGTTGGAGCGGGTCCCCTCTATGTTTAACATCAACTCAAAGAAAAACGGGACCTCTCCTGATGTCTGATGGACATCCACTGGAGGTCTGGGATAAACGGATAAACCGTGCTTTACATCGTGGGCGCGTGTAGCCCGGCTGAGCTTTTGCTGGCTGAGCCATGGGCCAAAAGAGGAAGGAGAAGGAGCCGCAAGCCAAGGCGCGGAGTTCTGCGCAACTTGCAGCGAGCTCGCCAGGGCAACAGACAACTGCCTCGGGACGATTGCTCCTGGAACCGCCAGTTTTCCAGGACTGGTCGTCAGGGTATATTACTTTTTTGTTTTGGGCCCACCACATGCAGCAAAAAACAAACACCAGACAAAGCATCAGCCACCATTTCCCGAACACGGGTGGGTTCTGCAAATTGGCCAGGAAGCCGCAAAGCTGGCGCAGTCCAGGAAGAGTCGAAACCTCAACTAGTCCAGACCGAAATGATTGCCCCTTTCAAAGAAGTTTACGCTGGTACCTTCTTGGAAGATCTCTGACAAAATGTATGCTTGCTTACATTTGCTGGTCCGGGAGCCGACAACCCGAAACCGGTCATGTGACTTAGGAAACGCCCTTGAATCTCAACCTGCCAAATGTTGGCGGATGACAGTTAACATAATATCCAGGTCCAAGGTGTGTTGATCCGCATTCTCATGAATTCGGCCCTTCCTTCAGATTCAGAGGCGCTACGGCTGATGGTTTAGAATCTGCTGACGTTTGTTTTATGAATCATCCTTTTGTTTCGCTCAAAGTAGCCATCGATTCGGCTGGAGCTCCTTACTCGGTTGCTATTTGTTTGGACCGATTTGCCAAGGCAACATGCACAAGTGACATTTCTGATAGAACAAAGAGCACGAACATCGACAACAGGCAAACAAATTCAAGCTGTTAGGCCAAGGGGCAAGAGCTTACGCGCCAGCTTTTTGCGCCAGGCGCCGCCAGCCTTCAAGCTGCCCGAGCCGGACAGGCAGGGATGAGCCGAGCCCTGGTTGAATTGGATTTGGACGTGGGTTCTTCATGGTATCCCTTTTCAGGTTTGTTTATAAGGGACGCCGGAAGGAAAACCATAACTTTTTGGGGCAAAATGGTGGTCCCCAAATGTTGACACATGTTATCAACCGGGGTGATCAATCCTGGGTCAGCGTGGTTACTTTCATGTTTCCTGCAGCAGGAAGACGAGATGAAACGATTCCCCCCTCGTTGCGATGGGGAGAATGAGAAGCGGAGCCAGCACTAAACTGAACGAACCTGGATGGGAAGTGCATGGGCTCGCGTCCCACCACAAAGGCATCCAGTGGCTGAATTCGAGTCATTTGATGGGTTCGTTGTTGATACCTCGAATGGTCAAATGATCGCTAGGAACCACCGTGGGTTTGGTGGGGTGCAAGGATTGGGTGTCGGACCTTTTGGTTTCAACCAGCAAAGCGGTCCATTCGCCTGCGAGGGTACCCCTGTTGGTGGTTTTAAACGGAAACCGAAAGGAACACCATGTGGGGGGCTGCCCTAAAAAAGACAGACCCACATGCACCCCAGCTAACCATTGTTTGAGGGATCTCTTTTTGGGGGCCCCCCTTGGGAGCCCCATGGCCCCACTGTCCAACCCCCGGTATCCTGTAGGGTGCGCCCCGCTTTTTCCTTTGAAAGAGACTACCCTCCCTTCCACTAACATAGCACCTGTAGGAGGGTTCCAGGAAGATTATTTTCTTTTTGTAGGGAGACTCTGTCAGGTGCCAGGTTAGTGGGAGTGAGACTAATCTTTGGCTCGTCGCCAGCTGTTCGTGCCAGGCAACTTCAGATTTCTGTGCCGCCGCTGCTTCCTCCGGAGCTGGAGGAGGAGCGCGAAAGCTGTTCAGGTATGAATTGGCCTGTGGATGATCCTACATGTTTTTTGGGTAGACCTCTTTAGTAATTACCAGTTGTTTTTATGATTGTACTCACCTTCTGCTGGGGTTCTTGGCTGCCCCTGTTTGTTGACCGAAATGCGGGTGCCTGAGGACGCTGGAGCTTTGGAATCACTTGTCGGTCATTGTCAGTCCAATTGGAACCCTCTGGACACGCTAGGAGAAGACAGGCATTTTGTGGGCCTGATGTCGCGTCACTCAGAAATGCCTCATGCGGCAATCAGAAGATTTAACATGGACCACCGCTCTACATTGATTCCAGCATGATCGTATGCCAACCATTCAAGGTGGCTTTGACTCCTTGTCTCAGCTCCTTTTTGCTTAATCTGATGGTGGTTCCTGGCGTTTCCATTTGGAACTCCTGCACATGGGTTGTTTAAGTTGCCTTCAGACGCAACCACAAGGGGGGGTTCCATTCAAAGAAACAGTTGCATTGCGGCCCAGTCTTCTGCCAAGCTGCTGAACCAAGCAAAACCAAGCATTGCCATTTGGCCGTGGTCAAAACCAATAGTACCATATTGGAGTGTGGGGATTGGGATGTTCCCAGGGGGTTAGGGATTTTGACCCATAGCCATATTGAAACTTTAGTTCTTTAGTTCTTGTTGGCCAGGGCCTGTCATTTAAGAAGGTTTCCACTGATTCTTCAAAGAGATGCCGCTACCAAAGGTTTGTCTGCATGGTGGTCTCTTTTTGCATGGGCCAACACAACAATGTTGACAGATCCCCAAAGGGTTGTAGCTCAAAGGGCGCTTCAACAGGGATCCTTAAAAGATACATGTTGCCCATGTGAAACATAGCCTTTTCCACCAAAATAAAGGGAAACCACCATTTACAGGGCAATGTTCGGGTGTATAATGTAAGGATCCCTGTTCAATTTCAGAGGCGAAACTTTCAGGAAGAGGACGCGGGGCTTTCCGCCTTGGCAGCCTTGCCACCGCGCAGCTTAGAGTCAGCCGGAAGTGGCGGGGTGGTCCTGCGAGCGGGGCGAAATAGCTTTGGCACTAGTCCGGCAAGCAATCAAGCAGGGATGCGGGGTAAGGGACGTGGGAAAATACTTTCCGGGTACTAGACATGGTTTCCGCCATATGGCCATGGGTCAAAATCCCGTACCCCCAGTGAACATCCCACTCCCCACTAAAATAGGTCTAGTGGTGCACCTACCCCAAAATGGTACCATTGGTTTTGACCGGGTTAAAATAAAGCCACCAGGATATGGACCGCAGGTTGTAGGCATTGCTTCCATTTGCCAGGTTCCATTTTGGGGTTACCCTATTTTTGACCCACACCCATCTGACCATACGAATGTCAACGTCGGATTCGGAGAACCCGTACAGGAGTTCCTGATTAAAAGGGCAGCCACCTCTGAGTTGTGCGGTCCTCATGAATCCGAAGTCAGCATTACTTACTTTCAGGGCGACTTTGAGAATGCAGAATAGACTGAGGCCATTTATAGTATCGGGTTGTCTTCAAATTGGCACCACTTCAATTCTTGGAGTGCAATTTTGACGGAACAAAAAGGAAACCAAACACCGGGACGGGGCGCATATTGGAAGACTCATGTGCATCGGGCAATTTCCGGTTTATAAGTAAGCAATTATGGTAACCATGCCCTGGTTGTTTTCGTGATGACAAGAAGATGCTTCCATTGCATCTGTATTTCTCACTCTCTTGTTTCCTGGTCTTGATGTAATTGCTGGGGGAGCATATGTTTGCGGCAATCATGATCCACAGACATTGGCCCGACTCCATAGGCACTTTTCCCACACGGAACCCTTTTTGTTTTCACAGCCGAATACCTTACTTTGCTCGTGGTTCAGTGGGGCCTGTGAGATCATTGATAGACTGAGAGTTCAGCGCCCTTCCAACCAGTTTCTGGGCTTAAACTTGTTCGGAAGATCACGGCAGTTTGCACCTCCCTTGTGGCAGCACACATATATGTTGATACGTATTGTATGTATACCAGATGTAACAATATATATATATGATGTATATACGCACATGCACGCATGTATAGATACCTGCCGCAAATGCAGTTGTTCGGAGTTGTCCATTCATACATACATGCACCAAGTGCATGATATAGGTGCATACATATGACAACATAGCATATTTGATGAGGAGTGTTCTGTTGTCAACATTGTCCAGTGCGGATGAAATCCTTGATGCTGATATGTGTTTTTGTCAGCAGCCCCTCTTATAAAGCCTTCTTACAAGCCGCGACTGTGTTGTTGCCAATCCACATGGCCTGGGCCATGCCACAGG